CTTATAGTCCTAAGTTCTTGAGCATGACAGGAAGTGACAATTTTTTTATTTACTCATTTTAAGGCTGGGAATTCTTGAAGGCGGGCATTTTATGTGCATTTAAAAATATGACATTTTAGTTAAAGCCTTGGTAATATAACCAAAGTTTTAAAGGGTATTTTGTTTATAAAGAGAGAGCAGATATTAACTGAAATTATGTAAGTAAAAATAAAAATACCTTATGAATGGTTTTTAAATTTTTGGAGAATCAACTAGGAAGAAAAAGCAAATATTTTCATCTTTGTTTACAAAAGTATACTTTCCCAAGTTTTTCTAAACTACAGATAGGTTATGAGAGAAAATTTTCTTAAATCTGGAAATCAAAACATTTGAGTAAAGAGCCAACAATGCTTTAAATAAAAGTCATAAGAATATTATTTGTATCAATTATTTAATTTTATGTAATTAATTTTTTGTTTTGTTTATCTTCTCTATATAAGAGAAGAATATAAAGCTGTCTGATCAGTAAATCCAGGTGAAAATATATGTTGACAATTTTGAAGACATTTTTATTTTTATCAATAATTTAAAAACCAGCTTATTTATTAAAGATTTATTTAAGTCATATGAACTAAAAAGCATTTGGATTAATAACTTTATATTTTATATGAGTGCTCATTTATATAAATAAAAATTTTTACGGGAATTTTGGTCAACTAAGCCAGATTTTGCCATGTAAACACAACATATAACACAATACATCTACATATGTATAAATATATTTAGACATATACATACACAAAAACAAAGAGCTTACAGTTTTTATTTTAGAATTTTAGTTAGGGATAGTAATATAAACTCATCAGTTTATAAAAGATAGTTGGATCCAAATTGTATTTTTGATAAAATTGGAACCTGTTCATGTGGCTAAACTTTATTTGCTCTGGTAAGTAAGGCTGTGGACCAAAATTTTGGGTAAAACATTTTTCAGGGCAGTTTGATTTTTAAAAATCTCTTTTACTCCTTTTTTGCCCAGTTTTAAATGAGTTTAGGCTTAAACTTTCAATGTTTGCATTGTGGGGAGGACTAGCTGAATTGTATCAGAAAAATATCTCCAAGGTACTTTGAATTAGTAACAAATCTGTCTTTTGTTTGCTGGTCTGTTTTGTTTGATTAGCACATGAGGGCAGGGAAGCATTTTAATAGTTTTTTTAGAATATTAATTTTTGAATTAAGTGTTTTATCATTGTATACAACTGTTAATCAGGCAAACCTAAATTTATATTTTTGGAAGGTGTCTATGTTGTTAGTTGCTGTTGAGCTATTATAATTTGTAAAGGCATTAATTTGAAAGCCCTTTAAGAATTCTTTTTTTTTTTTTTTCAATCTTGGCTGGAATGCCAGAGCAGTGAGATAGCAGTGAGTTTTATTTCACCACCAGTAGAAAAGCCAACATATTTAAAGTAGGAAGAACAAAATAGAGAGATATAGAACTTAAAAGACTACATGTTAACTCTATAGTTGCAGGTTTTTAAAATAATGACCATTTGAGCTCTGAATTTTCTTTGATGTAATTTTCCCATTAGTTTAAACATGTGCACAAGAATAGGCCATAATATGTAGCCAGCTGGAGTCCCAGGAAACCTGGCATGCCTTCATATTTGAGAATTTCATTGTTTCTTATTAATCCCTTAAGGGCACAAAACCGTAAATCTTATAAATCCAGGGAATCTCAGAGGGTTAAATTGGTGTTTTAGATGCTGGTGACTGCTCCAGTGGCTTTTAATTAGCTATCCTGTGTCTACTGATTAGGATATTTATTTTCTTCTTCCCAGAAGATTTTCAGAAATAGTGAGGGAAAAGAGTCAAATGTAATCAAAGGAAGCCGAGGTGAGAGTACTCACAAAATTTTAACCCAGGTATGCGGATTGAATGAAATACTAAACTAGCCATGCAACCCAGAGAAGACATGCCTCACATGTAGAAATTCTGTAGAAAGCAAGAGTATTCTTGTCTTTATACCAGAAAGGACGTACCAGAAAAGACTGAACACGAAGTATTTTATAGCCCAGAAGGGATGTAAGATTCCTTGTTAAAGTAGCCTTATCTAAACCAGATCCCCAATAAAGTAAAAAAGCCTCTGCCCAAAGGAAAGAGACTCAGCTCATAAGGGCCAAAAAGGTGAGCTGTGGAAGTGGAGGGATCAAAGGGCTCAAGTGAGTACTGCACACTGGTTCCAAATGCCACCAATTTCCTCCAATAGTGATCTTTTGAGATACCACTTCTGATATCATATATGTCAATCTAAGTAACAGTCTCTCAAAAAAAAAATGTGTATTTGGGAATAGAACATTGCAGTGAGAATATGCATGGGATAGTAAACTATACTTGTGCTTAAAGGAGTTAAAGGAAGGCAAAGGATTTTAAAGAAAAAAAGGCTTCCATAATTGTTTTGAAGTTATTCTTGACTATTAAGATACTTGACTACTAAGATACTCGACTATTGTCACAAGGGCAACACTATTTTGAGGTTGGACAGGCAGTTGCTGGGCAGATGTCTGTGCAGAAATATTTTTTGTTTACGGTTGCAATGGCCTTTTTCAAAGTTGTGATTTTTGTAGAGCCTTTTGTGTTATCAGCCATAGAAACGTGAGAACTCATGGCTTTCTGTGGCTTTATTTGTTGGAATTTTCTTGACATTAGTGACTCCATTTTGATTCTGATAACTTTCACAATATTTGTGTGTGCATGAGGGGGTGATTACTTGAGAATAAGTTGTAGACATAATGTTCCTTTATTTCTAATTACCTCGTCTATTTTCTAAGCACAGAGACATTCTAGACATTGTATACAACCCTAATTTAATTTTTAAAATTGAGAAATTAATATTAATAAAATATATTACCTAATATATAGCCCTTGTTTAAATTTCATCATTTGTCTCACTAATATGCTTTTTAGCAGAAGAAAAAAACTTTAATTCAAAATCAAATCCAGAATTATGTTTTGCATTTATTTGTTTTGTCTCTTTAATCTGGAACTGTTTCTTGGTCTTTTTTATTAGTTTCCTGCTTCAGCTATAAAACTTATCAAAACTTTAGTGTCTTAAAAACACGCACATTTATTATCTCAGAGCTTTGAATGTCAGAAGTCCAAAATCAGTCCCAGTAATCCAACGTCATGGTGTTAGCAGAGCTGGTCCCTTCCTGAGGCTCTGAGGAGAGAATCCATTTTCTTGTCTGTATTAGTTTTTAGGGCTCTCACACATTTAGGGCTCAAGGGTTCATTGAGCCACTTCCTTGCATTAATGTAACCCCTTAACTTGCATCACCACATCTGTGACTACTAACTGTGACTCTCCTGCCTCCTTCTTATAAGGACACTTGTGACTATAATGGGCCTACCCATATAATCCAGTTAATCTCTGCATGTCAAGATACTTAATCACATTTGCAAGGGCTTTTTAAAAACTATGTATGGTGACATATTCACAGGAAATAGATATCTTTGGGGAGCATTAGTCAGCCCACCACAGTGCACATGATACAATATGTTTTTGAAAGTCATTGTGAGTCCTTTTGAAAAGGAGGTAGATGGAAATGAAGACAGAAAAGCAGGGAAAAGAAGATATTGAGTGGGAAATGGAAAGGAGGAGACAAGAAGATAACCTATTAGTTTGCATTTCTGGTTTGGCAAGCTGCTGAAGATCAAGATCCCCTTCTTGTTAGCAGTAAGGAAAAAAGCAATATGCCTTTTTCTGAACCTATTTTTAAAGTACTTAAATTTTAGGAAAAAGTTGATGTCTGACATCTGTGGTGGGGGACTGTCATAAGAAAAAGTGATGTATGATTTCTAAATTTTATCCCAGTGTATAGACTATAAATTACAAAGAATATACGCAGTTATACACCTATGGAATTATTTTTCTGCAAGTAGATACATTTCACCACTTCACAACTCATTGTACAAAAAGTAGATGATTTGCCTTATGTGAAATAGAAGCTGGAACTTAAAAAGAAAGTCAACCACTGGAGAATTTAATAAAAAGCATTATTGTTTGAAAAGTTTTTCTAACATAGATTTAGGCTGTGTTTTTAGAATGGACACTGCTGTACATTTAAAAGCAATTATTTTGCTATTCAGATTTTTTATTATCTGAAAATGAAATTATCTGTTTTACTTTTCAAAGCTTTGTGAAACAAACTTGAAGTTATAGGGAGGTAAGCCATCTCCAATTCTGCAGGTCAAACAGAAGTTTGGGAAATACTTTTAACATCCCACAATACAGAATGTCTCAACATGAGAATTGAATTTCATATTGTCTGGTTCCATTTAATAGCAGACACCACCCCAATCTCATGTTTTCCTGTTATCCTAAAACAATGGAAGGAAACCAGCTGTTTGGTAGACTTCTAAATCATGGTCTACGATGATTTTAATCTGAGATTCTCACCTCCATTTACTAAAAAATCATGACTCAATTCAAATTACACAGTAATCAGTAAAGTGAATATATCTTTAAAATGGAATTTTCTCCCTTCAGCAAGCACTCAGTAAGCAGTGAGGCTGAGTATTTTAAAATATAAAGAAAGATACGTGTGAGTGACTGAAAGGTGGTATTAAAAAACTTAGATTTCAAAAAAGAAAAAAAAGAAAGTCAACCTTTTCTCTCTCCAGGATATCGAGCATGAAGCGACATTACCATTCCTCCCTTTTGCACATACACATCTGACATTCTCCTGGGCCCACAGAATGCAGTTTGATTCTTCTTTGTATTTCGCAATCTGTGCTATAACTGCTACCATAATGATGCTGTAGCCACAACAGAAAAACGTACCCTTAGAGTTAGCAGTGATTCAGAATATGAGCTGAGCTGAATCTGATGGCTGAACAACATGTTACCACGAGAAGTGAAATCCATTGACCAGCAGCAATAAGAGCCACATGAAAAGAGGAAGGTGATCTTTCAGATTTCCAGACTCCAGTTTGAGCATCAAGTTGGATAATAGCTTTTTTTCCCCCAAGTTTCAGTTCTTTATTAATCAGTGTAATCTCCAGTAGATTGCATCAACATGATTTCATGCATTTAGAGGAGAAATATTTCCTGATTAAGTGGAAAATGGTGCAGATGGCTTCTGGAAGACCTTCATTCTAAAGTAGCTTTATAGTGAAACATTTCATTTAGAAATCTGGACCTTCTTTCTCCAGTATGCTGTAATCCACATTCACTGAGTAGAACTTGTATTGATCATTGGGACCCAGTTTGTTCCAGGGCTCTGGGTTATTCTTTCTGTCCCAACTAACATCTAGATTGAATAATGCCAAACACAAGAGATACAGTGCTGCTCTCGTACCTCCAGCTCCAACAAATATAAAAACAGGTATCAAGCTTGGATGTATGTTGGCCTGACTGATGATCTGGCGGAGTATGTTTGTGGCAGAGGCCTCCGATTAGAAAGGCGAGAACCAGCTTAGTCATCAGGCCCTGGGCTAGGTATTATCTGCCAGCTAATAACTTTTAAGATTACATAAGACACCCAAACAGATAAAACAAGGTTTTCCTTTCTGTATCCTCTCTCATTGCCAAATGTCCAGCTTAGAGTTGCCCGCTTTCAAAAATGCCAAACACATCTCAGTGTAGGTCATTTCCTGTGGTCCCCTATGTGGGTAAAATCCTTGGCTCTACTGACAAATTCCAAGTGGGTTTGTTTTGGAGGCATCTTCCTCTCTAAATCCTAAATAGTCTGTTGATACTCTTAATCTGAAAATTTTTGAGGGGTAGAAAAGGGCAGTGTGATCTGAAATGTCATCCCAGTTTCAGGTTTGAACGTGTTAAGGAAATACCTGTGTCCTCAGTGAAGTACTCTTTTTGATTTGGATGTGGTATCCTACAAGTTCCAAATGATGAAAACTAAATGGATGAGTTCTCGTGGAGATAATTTCTAAATACTTAAGCAGTTAAAACTAAAACTATGTCTCTGTGATTTCAGTGATGGGACTCTTCCTCGCCCCCCACCCCACCCAGCCAAATACCTCCAATAGCTTGCAAATTAGGTAATAATGGACATGGAGAGTTATACTATAAAACAAAATGTCACCCCACCATCCCAATACCAAGAATCTGATCTTGTAGTAGAGGATTAGGAAAACCATGAGAAGCCCAGAAGAAGAATACATTGTGTGCCTTTACATTTCTTGTCAGGACATCCTTCCATCCTCAGATGACTAGTTTTGGATGTCCCTTGCTCTGGTCTCTGTGCTATCTCCCAGAGTCCTGGCCACACCTGCAGCGTTCAGAGACCAGAAGAACATGAATCTCTGTCAGATTCTTCAGAAAAGAACATCTATAAAAAAGACATCTTTTTCCTACCACTTCTCATAATCATAACTTTGATGGACTTTGGGCTAAAACTTCCTTTTTTCATGAGGAATGGAGGTGGGTGAGGGAAGGATAAAGATGTGGGTTGATGAAAATATTTTTCATCGTTGAGCAGCATTTGTGCACGAAGCATGTGGCACAAGATTGCCAGGTGCCAACCCTGGAGTGGAGTAACAAATACTCATTTTCATACTTGCTAATAGTTCTAGAGCAATGTGCCCAAATGAAAAACTACATTTCTCTCTCGCTTCTCAGGGTTGGGGTGAGAATGAGATATAAGCTGACATAGTTGGGTGAGTTTTCCAGGAAAGCTTCTGCTGTCTGGAATGCAGATGTGAAGGCTGGAACTCTTAGAGCCATCTTAGACCAAAAAGGGATCTTGCAAATGAAAGTCTCAAGTTAAAGATTACAAAGCAAATGAAGGAAGAATGTGAGATCCTTGATCATCATGGAGCCTCAATTCTGGATGTCCTTCTTCCAGACTTCTTTCACTTGAGAAGGTTAACTATTTTTTTTCAAGTTATTGTTACTTTGTTTTATTATATGCTATTAAACAATCCAAAGAGGAGTACCCAGTTATTTGAAGTTATTTTGTACTCAGTTTGTTAAAATCGTGTGATTATGATTTTCATGTTGGGTGGTTGTTTCAAGGGTGTTTATTATTATAATTTTATATGATTGTTGTAATGCATAGATAATAATGATTACATTCTCACATTCTCTACCACAGGGAGCCATTTTTTTTCAGATTAGAATCCCAAATTGAAAAGTCATCAAGGTCTTTTATAAAAGAAAATGAATTGAAAAGTTCTGGGGTGGAAGGTGGAGGGAAGAGAGGTGATAACCTGGGAAAGCCTGAAAAAAGTCCTGGAAAGACAAGGTTATAGGATCCTGTTTCTCATCTGGAAAGCCCCCTTTTTGGTTCTCATCTGGAAAGCCCCCATTTTGGTTCTACCCTAACCTTCTCCCCTCCCCGAATCATCCGCTGGGTACTAATTGTGGTAGGAAGAGTTTGCTATTTTTCACCATTCTTTTGTGCTGTTCTGCTTTTTAAAAAATTGGACTTTGGGGTTGTTAAATAAGATTTATAGGAGGCCGTTGTTTTAGATTGAGCTCCGGTGCTAGACCCCAACAGACCAAATCAAAATATAGTCCATGCTAAGTACCACATAATCAAATCGAAACTTTAAGGAAGGAAGATAATGCCCTAAAAGGCCAGTGTTTTTCTAAAAAAAATGGGAGATTCACAGCAAACAATCAGAAAGGGACTAATCAACCTGAGCCAGCATGATAAGGAAGTCCTCTCTACTTTCTGTTTTTTTGTTTGTTTTGTGTATGTGTTTTTTTGTTGTTGTTGTCGTTTGGTTGGTTGCTTAGCTCTTGTATTACTCTTTTCTTGTTCCTGCTCAATCTACTTTACAAAAACCAACTGTTCTGATATGTTCAGTGGAGCTTCCCTCTATTTCTAGATGGAATGCTTTCTGGTTCATGAGTCAGTAATAAAAGCCAATTACATCTTTAAATTAAATTTATGACATTTTATTTTTAACAATTCTGATAACCCCACAAAGGGACCCAAAGGAAAGGCTGCTGATACCTTTAAAGTCTACTGTCTTCCTCAGAGAGCCTGGAAGTCATGAGCAACTTTCTCTCTTTTTCTGTCTCTCTCAGGTCCAAGTTCTGCTGTCTTTTATATTTGAGCACCTTTAACTCTTTGGCTTTTTGGTCCCAAGAGTTTATTTGTGCTGTGGCAGGGTGTATAATTTTGAGAGTTCACAATGATCAATGGGCTTTGGTTTTAAAGGTAAATGAGAGCAATTGCAGTAAATGGCAGTCACTTCTAGAAGGTGACCCCATCTTTCACAAGTTTTCAGAAAACTGGATTTCCTTCTCTTCATTGCTTTTATTCTTATGGGCTAAGGTAAGGAAAAATCATTGGCTAAGTTGGTCAAGGGAATCTCAGAGCCAAGCCACAGCTTGACTGATGGGCATTGAGTTGGGCACCAAAAAGCTGCCAGTGGACCTGTCACTTACCAAAAAACTTATTTGTTAGGATAAGTTGGTCATGGATGGGTTAGATGATACTAGGTCACCTGCCAACCTCAAGAAAATTCCTATGCAATGAAGAATGCAATGAAAATAGCACACGACCGGGCCCTATGGTGTTTCCTCCTTAAGTTTTTATCTCAGCTCTGAGAGACCCAAGATTCAATGTAAAAATTGGATCCTACTATCTAAAGGACTGAGTCCTCCACTTTCCAGTATGCCTTCCTTTTTCAAGTATAAAAATTATGGCTCCAGAAGCTGTGAATACTTAACAAAAGTGGCAATTTTTTATCAAAGATAATTCAGAATTACAATAGCCATATGTGGAACATTCCAAGTGGAGAAGATTGTTCATCTCAAAGGATACTTGAAACCCACGTTTCCTGAATTAGGAAGATGGAATGGGATGCGTATTTTAATTGGCAGAGAGAAAAGCTTCTAAGAGATTACAAGATTCTAAAATAGCTTTTTTAGATTTATTGCAAAAAGCTAATAAAAAATTGAAAATACAGGCTATCTCCCACACCAAGGATGATATGATTGATGGGAGTCCCACTGCCCTGCTCCATTCTCCTTTTCCTGAGTATTTACAGCCTATTAACCCTCTGTCTGAATTACCTTTCTTCCCTGAAAAATAAAAATGGTTTTACAGTTTCCGCATAAGAAAAAAACCACCTGAGAATTCTTGAGATAGTCCTTGAGTGACTTATGATCTTTGGACAAAAAACGAGCTTAGGGCTATAGATAAAGAATTTCCTAAACCTGGGGAAGCTCTCTTCTTTAGCATTCTGCCTTCTACACAGTGGATAATACAACCCAGCCAACCCTAGCCACCACCTTTATAAATGGACTCTCCCCTGAAATTATCTGGTTCATAAAAACACAAAAGATAGGGTAGGAAGCTACAGGTTTAGATGAATTAGTGATTATAGCTGAATATTTTGAAAGGACCTTAGAATAAGATGAGAAGTGAAGAGCTTCCAAATCATTCATTTTGCGTTTTAAGCAACTCCATAGCATCAACAATTTAAATGACCTTTGGACCTACCACCGTGCTTTCCTAAGAAGTTACCCTTAGAAAACAGTTTCCAAGAAAATGTTGCCATTTGTGCAAACATTTTTTTTGTTTGAAAAGTTTTTTTCTTTGAAAACAAGAAATGCAAGGTAATAGAAACTGCCCTCAAAGATTTCAAAGGTGGCCTCTAAAAACAAGCTGCCCACCCTCTGGTAGCCATATGCATGTTACCCACCAGGACTGATGGGCCTCTGTGGAAAACTATGGTAAGCCACTACCAGTGATGCATTTAAATAGTCAGGAGGAGACAAAGATAAAAATACACTGGAGGTCTCATCCAATTTTAGTAGATACTTGAGGCACTCTTTCTACTTAACACCCCACTTTTACAAGACGGCTTTTCTCTTGGAACAAAAAGGAAATGTTAGCTGTGGAGGTATGAAATCAAATTCAAGAAGAATTTGCTTCTCAACCTATACAAGTGACTCGAGGCCCTTTTCTGAAAAACATTCTTTTTTTGCTGTGTAACACAATCCTGGTCAAATTATTGGACAGAGACCTTCTGTTTGAGCTAAAAGGCCTGATATGATTTGCCTCTAATAGAGACTTGACTCCGAAATTTCCTGACTCACCTGAGCCAGATCTCCTGTACATGTGACCATCTGTCCTAGATACAGGGGAAGAGGACAGTCCACAAAATGTTCTTGACTTAACCGAGATACTCAATGACATATTAGCTGTGTCTAATGCTAGTATGGAAAGAATAAAAAGTGCAGACCCTATTAAAATTTAAATACACCCTACTAAGCCTCTTCCAAAATTCCCTTAGCATCCACTAAAGCTGGAGGCCATACAAAGTCTTGAGCCAATAATAGAAGACTCAATTGCTCGGAGATTAATTATATCATTCACCAATCCTTGTAACTCCCCAATCTTCCCTGTAGAAACCTAACAGGCAAAGGTAGCAGTTTGTTCAGGATCTATAAACCATTAACAAGATAGTTATTTCCCATTTTCCAGTGGTTCCAAACCTTACTCTTGTATCACAGGTTCTCCCAAATTCTAAATGATTTACAGTGGTGTACCTATGGTTAACCTTCTTTAGCATTCCAGTTGACCCCAACAGTCAATATCTGTTTGCTTTCACCTGGAATAATCCATAATATACCTGTATGGCCATGCCTCAGGGGTTCACTGAAGGCACTTCCTATTCCTCTGAGTGCTTGAGACTTGAGGGCTCTCCAGTTCCTAGAGGCTTGACTCTCTTGCAATATGTGGATGGCCTCTTACTTTGTTTACTGACTGAGGAGGTATCCCAACATGAGTCTATCGATCTGTCATATGGGAGAAAGGGATATAAGGTTTCCCAAGACAAATTATAGTTATGATCAGATACTGTTCACTATTTGGGACATGATGTAAGTGCTGTAGGTCTCTAGCTGTCTCCTAATAAAGTTAGGCTTATCCATATAAGAAGGAGACAACTTTGCAGGTGTTTAGGTTTAGTTGGATATTTCTATCTGTGGGTCCCCAATATTTTCCTACTGACATATATGAAGTCACTAAAAGCTTAGTTCTTGAACCCCTTCCTTGGGAAGAAAAACATGAGCTAGTCTTTGTAGGATAATAAGGGCATTACAAAGTTACAAAGCTCTGCTGGTTTAGGATTGCTCAATTATTCAAAACCTTCCACCCTGTTTGTGCAAGACAGTAATAATCAGGCCTTGGGAATGCTCACACAGCTACATAGTGGAGGGTGTAGGCTGTGGATTATTATAGCGCTTAATTAAACTCAGTCACCAGGGCATACCCAAATTTCCTTAAAGCTAGATGCAGTGGAAAAACTGGTTGTGGCTTCTGCAAATCTGATCTTAGGTAATACTCTGTATCCCCACGCACCACATACAGTACAGTCTTCTCAATTCTGGCTGTGAGCAGACTAATCTCTTACGAAATCCGTTTACTCTCACTCTTTAATCTTCATCTAAAATGCTGTAATGCTGTTAATCCTACTTTGTTGCCCTTATTTGATGAAGGTAAACCACCTGACTATAACATGATAACCTCTCAAT